AAGTAGGAAATAGGTCATAAATTTATCAAAAAGTCATAAAAGAAAAGGAATTATGCGATCATTTAGTTGTCCTTTTTTTTACATGTGCATTAATACTGATTATGACATCTTGTCGTTTTTGTGTTGATTCAATCTGTTTTTCTTAGTTTACAACTACCTGAATGTTCTTTTTTTATTTGCTTCTTCAAAAAATATGTCTATGGATGTAATAATAAATAATTTAAGTTGCATAATCAACATGTTGATTAAGCGATGGGAAAGTTTATATAAGGGTGTGAGGCCCTAAATAATCAAATTAAGGCGCACATAAAAACTTTTGTTAAAAGAGGTTGTTTGAATGTTGGAAAACCCTCAATTCGATCAAGTCGACCTCAAGATATATGGACCCAAGACAAAAATACATTTCATGTCTTGAAAATAGCACATCTTGTACTATATTATCTAGACTGTCAATTTTCAAGATACATAAGTTTAGGAAAATTGTTTCATGCGGGCTGGACCGCATTTCTACAATATACGGTCCAGAGGTATAAATCATCCAGTTTAAAGAAGGATGCAACTAGGTGGTCCATCTAAAAACAAATGTATCTAACAGTCTAAATGTTTTCTTAATATAATTATTATTTCTATTTTTTTTTTTTTTCATATTCATGATCTCCATGTTAAAAATTGTATGTTTTCTACAAATTACGATCAAACTATATTTAAAAAATATATTTATTGCCAGCCTGCATTTCTATAATATGCGGGTTGGTCGCACAGAAATCGGGTCCATAAGTTTATGCTCAATCTACACTATTCTTTAATCTTTAAATTTTATAATTAAATATAAAAATAAATTTTTAGGTCATCATAAAGATTTTTTTATATGGAAACAACATATTTCGATGCTATTTGAAGGTGTATTGTTTTAATTGTTTAGGGCCTCAACCTTATACAAACCACACCCTTAAGCGAATAGTGAACATCAAGTTAAACTTTGGACAAACAAACATATATAGAAGGAAAAAGGAACAAATTGCAAAAAAAAAACCAGGGCTATAAGTTAATAACATGATAAAAGGGCTCCACCCATACCTCCACCCATGCCAGTAAGTTAGGGGGAGAAAGAGAGCGGTTTGGGGAGTTGAAGATGCAAAGCAAGAGAGGAAAAGGGGCTTGAATCGTGATGGTAGCACCACCCATACCTTAATCGCAAATCATGCTTTACAATCCCGCCCAAGAGCATGAGAATTAAGAATATAAGAAGTGAGAAAAGAAATCTAGTATAATGAAAAAAAATATAATAAAAGGTATTTGACGTAAATAGCTTTACAGAGCCTATCATTCACTAGAATATTTGTCATGTAATTGAAATATATTTTTCACTTGTATTGTTAATTAATTATCAATAACGTGGCTACTTTTAAAGAGCATTTCATCTAAGTACCTCCAAAGCTATTTTATCTAGTCCTTATTCCAAGTCATGAACCTTGAATATGTAGCGGGAAATTTGTAGTTTTACATTACTTATGTAGCCTAAGCTAAATGATGTAAACACTCCAGCACATGTCAGATTCCAATCCTGAAACATGTTTTCTTATCAAGACTATTTTTCCATGTTTGGATCAGGAACAAGATAGGATATTTATGTTATTTAGTTGGACTGAGGTGACTGGAGTCGAAGGATTTTAATGCCCTTGCTTGTCCCATTCCAAACATGAATTATGTGTTAAGTTCATTAGAATTTTTCTCATTTTTTGTTTGGAATCCATAACATATAGGGGTATTTTGATAATTTATATTATAGACAAATTACCAAGTGCTTCTACTTGTTCTGGATTCTAATTGGGGACATTTTTTGTATTTTAACAAAATAGTTAATGAGGTAATTGACTAAAATGATATAATTAATCCCTTATTTGGCTGCAAACATAAATGTATTTGCTGTTCATTTTTAATATAGGTTGCCATTTTCAGGATTTTCACAAATGCATTACAACTATGAAAAAGCATATGAACCCATCCCAAAATAGAAAGTAAAGAAGGGAACGACTACCTCTACATGTATAGTAGCTCATAAACAAAGAACCAGCAAACTCTCCATTTCCTTTTTCTAGTTTTGCAAAGAACAAGTGCAAAGTTCAATAAAAGAAGAAGAAAAACACCTTAATTCTCTATTTCTTTGTCTCAAAACCTTGCCTTTTCATGACTTTAAAATCATCATATAGAAGAAGTATCGAAACCACTCATCCTAAACTAGCACCTTCTACATTTAATTCTACACCATTAAGTTTACGAAAAATCTCATTTTCCATCATTATACCACTTCCATGAAACCTCACTATCATGGGCCAATTGCTTCTTAAGATGAGAGATATTATAGAATTTACAATAAAATAAATAGAGACGAAAGAGTGAGATAAGAAGAATTAACAAGACATATACGTGGTTCAACAATGATGCTTACGTCCATGGAGGGTAAACCAGTATCTTATTCATAGGGATTACTCTGGTTTAACAGAGATTTATAGTGTTACAATTCTTGTCTTTTAGGAAACAAAACTCATTACAATTGTAAACAAAACTCATTACAACTGTAATCCCACAAAAAAAAAACTCTCAATCTCAAAACTCAATATCTTGTAACCAACAAGATATGAACCTTTTATATCTTGTTGTTATAACCTTCAACAGATACCATAGATATAAAGAGGTATAGAGGCCATAGTAATTCTCTCTCTCTTCTTCCTAAGGTGTTTACATTATCATTGGCCAATTACATCTTAAGAGGAGAGAGATCATAGACATAAAAGCATATTTCGAAATAATAGTAATGTGCTTTAATACTGCTTTTCCTCACAAAAGTGGTTTTTACTAATGCAAAATAACCTCACATAAGTTGCAAGTAAAAAAGGGGTTTTAAGCAAATCACATGGCTCCAATGATTTAGGTTATAATCTGAAGGTCTAAATGGCCTAATCTTGGAGGAGGGTGACAACATCATTATCCACTTTCTTTTTATGGAAATGTATATAGTGAGACTATTTATATATTTAATGTTAACAAGAGTTTCTTTGAGTGAATAAAAGAGTACAAGCAGTTAAAATAAAAAGATAAGAAAGAAAATAAAATGAAAGAGAAGCAAGAAGAGATAAAAAAAGAGAGCTGAGAAAGGGAGATAAAGGAAAGAGAGGCATTGGAGATGACTGCAAGAGAGAAGTGATGAGAAGTAATTCTCAGAGAAGCCCTCCTTTCCGAAGTGATCTATATTTCCATTTCTCTCTCGAATGACTTCCTTATCCAACAATAAGAAAAACCAGCTGCCGATCCCCTTCAATTATCACTTAGTTCTGCGTGGGGTTAAACTTCTTTAATCCTCTAAGCCACCAACATAGTGCCTCATTGATCTCACATAACCTAATATTAAAAAGGTGTGGTTTGCATAAGGTTGCAACCTTAAACAATCCAATTAAGGTGCACCTCTAAATTTTGTCATAAATATAAATTTGATGTAAAACATTCTTAGGATGGCTTGATAATCTATTTACATCTCTAATTATAAAAATCTAAACTCTAAAAATGGTTCAAATCTAGTAGATCTATAAATACATGAAAATCTTAAAAATGGACGGTTCAGATAATGTGTTGCAAGATACATTATTTCGCGGACTCAAAATCTTTTTTTCTTTTCATATTCATACATCTCGATGTTGAGATGGTCAATTAGAGGGTTTTCCAACATCCAAACAATCTTTTACGATGGACTTTTGATGTGCATCTTTAATTCTACATTTTAAGGTTGCAACCTTATATAAAAATTTTTTATAATAAAATCATCATCATCATAATAACATTTTTTCCAATTAATTGGGATCGGCTACATGAATCATGGTCTGCCATTATGCTATTTTATTAAACCCTCATAATAAAAATTATGTTGAATAAAAAATACTAACTATAATAATTTTGAAATATTCACTAGTCAACTTTTTACTTCAAAATATTTTTTTATTATTTTTGTTACCTGCATTATATAAACCCCAAATTCTAGATAAAAATGATTATGAAATAAAATATAAAAATAAATTATTTTATAGTTATTGGATGCAACTTGATATTATTTGACCTCTTGAAGGCAGCTCAAATACCCATCAAGCATCCATGGATGCTATACTCCTTTTCTTAGGATTATATAATATATCCAAAGTGCTACTCAAAATTGTAGTTGAAAAAGGCCTCATAAGTAGCTCTTTTGCCTAGGGTATAAGTGCATAACCCAATGACTTTTTATCTGGATCGCTGATTGAGATAAAGAACGGTCTAGATCGAAACAAATTTAGGATGGTTTAAGTCCCAACCGAGTTTGTCTCTAAAATAAATTGTCTAATGTTTTATTAAGTCCCCTTAAATCCCCTCCCCTTAAACACATATTTTGGTTTTTGTTTTATTTTATTTATTTATAGTATATTTTTAAATCATCAATTTAAACCGATATAAACCCTATTTAAATTACCAATCCAACAATCCGATATAGATACATAGGTGAATAATCCGCCCAACTAATCCAGGTTTTAGAACACTCGCATGAAAGGAGTAAGGGTCCATCCAAAGTGCCCTGAACTAAATTAAAAGTGATCATATATGGATAAAGGTTACCCTAGCCGGAGATTGAATAATAGTAGTATGGAAGATGCCCAAACCTAAAACGAAACCAGTTAACGTAACCATCGCCAAGGTCCAAACAACGTACACGTGGACATATCCCCCGTATCCATATTTGGCACTCTTAATTCCCCGATTTTCCTATTTCCACCCGCTTTCTCACTTTGTACACCACTTATGAGGGTGGAGATACTAAAGAAAACTAGACATAGTTTTTATGCCTATGTTTTGGGTGGAAATAGTGAAACTTTTGTTAAGGACAGCACAATAATGTGGGTGGAAACAGTGATCCCTGACATTATGCAGACTATAAATACCCGCCAAAGCCCTACAAAATTACAAGCACTGGACACACAAGCACACTTTCTTTTCTTGCTCTCTCCCTCCCTCTCTCTCTCTCTCTCTCTCTCTCATCTTTCTCGCTCTAGTTCCTTTCTTCTTCCTCGCTCTCTTATCTTCCTGTGCGCCGCTTCCATTTCTAGGGTTTTTTCATCTGTTCTCTTCTGTCTCTTTAGTTTTCTCTCACTCTTCTTTCGCTTTTGGGCCTGGATTTAGAGTGGCTGAACCCTAATAACGTTCATTCCAGGGTCTTGGCTTGCGGCTTGCGGGCCAAGACGCAACGTATGCGGATTAGGTGAGTGGTTTGATGGTATTTTTGTTGGTTTCTTTGCTGGTTTTGTTAGGTTTTGGGAGATGGCTGCTTGATTGTGGTGTTTTTTGGTTGAATGTGTGGGGAACTTGTTGTTTTGGGTGTTGATTTATCTCGCGTATACTCTTGATAGTTGATAGCAAGTATTCTTTGAAACTTTATTGAAATATGGTTCAGCTCTTTGATTTTGCAGAAATCATTCACGTAATTAGTTGTTTTAGGTTTTGGCTTTCCAAATTTCTGATCTCAAATTCTTTCTTTGGCTTTGATCCATTGATTAATTAGCAAATAACTGGTTAGTATAATGTAAACTGAATATAGACGACTTCAAATAGAATGACTGTTTTGAACATCCCCTCCGATTTGTTTATTTGCATTTGCTCTTTGATTTTTCATGGTTTTGCTTCTGTATCATGAACAACATTAATTACATATTATTTTTATTTCCTGCAATTGGATGACTTGATCAGAGGTGAGAAGGGTTTCACTTAACATGGTGATGGCTTATCAGTAGGGAAATCAGAAGTGTTTTTGTATTGGTTTTTTGGGAAAAATAACTAATTAGAACATGTTGTTGAGTGGTTGAGTGCAGACTCATTGGGGCACCATGGCATCTGGTGAAGGTTTTCTCACTAAAGACCAGCGAGAACAGTTAAAATTGGCATCAGAAAACACTGAACTGTTGGCATCCTCTCCAAAGTCTCCGAAATCTTTGCTTCCTGATCATCAGATTAGAGTCATCATTGGTTCCAAGGCACCCGCTGTCGGTTTTGCTGTAAGGCATGTGCGTCGTTCTCATTCAGGAAAACTTATACGTGTAAAGAAGGGTGAGTGTTTTCCTTTATTTGATTGTGCCATGCTCTTTAAAGGCATATCTTCTCTCTCTCTCTTCTCTCCTTAAGTAGTTCATTGTTTAGTGACCTCTTTGATTTATTCTTGGAATTGATTTAACAGACTTTTAGTGCCAGATGCTTGCAGAAATATTACTAGTGGTCAATGATCTTTATATTTGTATATCTTAGATGTCATGTTCAAGTTTAAAATGACTTAATTCTAATGGCACATGAATTCAGCGCAAGAAGGAATAGCTCAGGAAACCATGATTGCTTAGTCCAAAAGAAACTGGATTATAAAGATGTTGTTGGATGTCAGTTTTACCAAATTGAAGGGTGTGTTCATCCATGCCATTTGATAGTCGGGGCTTCTTGGGTTTTGGGCTTGGGGGGGAGCTTCGAAAGGCTAACTTTAAGTATTTTGTGTCAGATATAGTTTCAATAATGCGACTTTGGGCAGTCATAGGAGTCAGTGGTCATTGCTAGTTTTGCTTTTTGCCTTTTGACACTGATGTTTTTGTATATTCTAGTATTCTTGCACAAAATAAATTTTATGTAGATTGATCACATATATCATATTTTATCATATTTTCTTCATGTCATATGAATCGAAGGAAAAAGTATATGTAAGGTTGAGGCCCTAAACAATCAAACTGAGGATCACCTCATAAATTCACTAGAAGTTGTTTTGATGCCAAAAAAAACCTAAAATCTGATCATCTTGACCTTGAGAAACATGGACATAAAAAACAATGGACTTCAAATCTTGGAAATAGTGCATCTTGTAATACAAAATCTAGATTGTTGATTTTTATTATTTTCAAGTGTTCATATATCTGCTTGATCTACACTATTTTTTAAGCTTTATATTTTATAATTAGAGATGAAAATAAATTTATTTGGCCATCCTAAATATTTTCGGTACTGAAAACGACATCTTTCAACAATAATTTAAGGTGCGCCTTACTTTGATTTTTTAGGGCCTCAGCCTTATACAAACCACACCCTTGATAGAATATTATGTTTGCAAATATTGTCATTGGATGAAAAATGCGTTATTGGAGGATCTATTTGTCATGTGTAGGATCTCTTTTTATTTGATAATTAATTATTATGCAGAGTATATATATTTTTATCATTAAGTAGTTATATTTGAGGCGAAGAGAAGTTTTTGCATTAGTTGCTAAGATGCTGTCTACTTGTTCTATAGGTTAACCTAGTGTTTAAAAATACGTAGTGGAAGAGAGAGGGGAGTTTCCTAACTTTCCACCATGTTGAGCATCTAATGGCATTTTTGTCCCAAAGTCCTCTGAATTTCCACTTGCGTGGTGGATGCAAAGAAAAACCATAATATGTTAAATGGTGTGAATAAAAACTTAGGGGGTTCCCTATGTGTAAAATCTTCTAAGTAGGGGGGCTTACATAATTTTCTCTTAAACAAAAAATGAGATTCTGTGAATAGCCATTGTCTTGAGCCGCTTAGGGAGATTTCAGAGTGGAATCGCCACCTTCGGTGGAAGATTTTGGTAACTATGCTTCGAACAGTGTTTTAGCATGTGCAGAATTATTTCAAATTGGTCATGTGGCTCTCATCTATGTATTCTGCTACCATGTGGCTCATAAACTCCCTTTTAACCTGTTTCGTGTTGGCAAGGATGCAAAGCAGATGTGTGCATTTTAGGTACATCCATTAGCACGAAATATACCCAACCATTAGTGATTCTGTCCTGTTGTGTCATGCTGTTTGTGTCCAGTTATATTAACCTACCAAAAGTAGTAAAACGTGCATAGATTTCTCTGGCTAAGTCCCCTACCATTCCCCCCTCCCCCCCTCCTTTCTTCATTTCCCCTTTTCTTTTTTTTCTTTCCTTTTTATTTTGAGAATGTTCTTTCTTTTTCCTTTATTGATTCAGGAATGGATGTTTGGCAACAGTTTGATATTAAGTGCTTCTTATATATCTATATCATTTTACAATAAAAAAGAGTGCTGCTTATACTTTCCTGTATCAGGCATGCTACTCTTCTCCATGTGCTGGCCAAGTAGAATCCATATCTTGAATGATTTCATTCTTTTGCATACATATGTACTTGTAGCTGTATGCACTCAGTCCATAAAAATTTCGAAGTTAACAATCAGCCTCAAACATTGGGAAGGACAATCATAAATGGGAATGAGCATGGCGCATTGGTTATATGTGCTTATTGTACATGGCATGTCTTTTACATTATTGATTGGTAGTTCTTATGAAGCATGACTCAATGTGGAAGGAAGAGCAGTAGGTGATGGGTGCATTGAGTGGAAGGGAGGTTTTCAGTAGGAGTAATCGAAGAAGTGATCACCCATCATGAAGGGGTTTGTCTTATTAGAATAATATGGGAACAGAATGAAGACCTCCCCTTATTCATGGAGAACAGTTGACATCTTTACAGAAAACGGGGATCAATTTTCCAATTACCATGTGGATGTTGGCTGTGTAAACTTGGTGGGATTGGAACTCAGCCCCTGCCTGAGCCGAGTAACTTGGGCACATCCAAGTGGACTTGTTTGAGTCTTGCAAGAGACCAAAAAGGGCTGAAAAATTGCAAACTAAAATATAAAAAATTGTTCAAAAATAAAAAAATAGAAAAACCAAGATAAGTGATAAAAGCGGTAAATGTCTATAAAGCATGGAAAAAAGAATATAAAAAATGTGATATGGAAAAAATTGGTTGATAGATTCAACAATTCAGAAAATCCAGAAAAAGGAAAATAGAAAACTATAGCATATGTTAAAAAAAATGCACAGATCATCATAGAACACATAGAAATCATCATCATTATAATACAAGCCTTATCCATAGAACACATAAAAATAATGTAGAAATATATTTATACATCATTTTTTTCTGTTTAGTAACACAATCTATATAGAAATAATATATGTCTAAACCCAAGACATTCTCAAAAAACGAAAAAAAAACTCTAAACTTGAGTTTGTGCAAAAAATGCCTCGGCACCCTGCTGAGGCTGAGTTACTTGGCCAAGTCCGAGTCGATTCTGTTGAGTCTTCAAACACTGCTGTGTACCAAGGAAAGCCAATGCTGTTCTGGATAAGATAAAATTGGGAATTAGTAGGAACAACATAGAAACAAGGGATTTTTGGCTTCCATAGGACTTCTTGGCACCGTTGCCTTTGCAAACATTTAATACTTTGTATATCATATATTATGTATCAAAAGAAATCTTCCATGCTGCCTTCTAAACCCTCGTTTGTGAACCTTCTTTTCTATCGACCATAATTTGGTGAAGAAATGATTATATGTGGCTGAGGACTCTAGGTTCCATCACTGAGGTTCTCCCAGATTCTTACTAGGGTTTTAATTGTTGCCCTTCTTTGGGCTCAATGATTGTACTTTTCATTTTAAGAAAATTTTGTTACTTCTAAAAGAACATTTTTTGCAATGAAACAAGAGAATGGTACGGGGACTCAATAGGTTGATCGCTTCCCTCTTCATCCTGGTTCTTTTGTATTGAATAACATGAGAAGCGGGGTTGATCACCACTTGTTGTTTATGCACTATCTAGCTACGCAGTGTAAAGAACCACGCAGACTGAAGGGCTTGCTCTTGATATCTGTATGTTGAGACAAAACTAGGAGTTAACTGCAAAGATTTGTATGATTAGTATGCAGTGAATTAGTTAAATTTTACGATATTTGGTAGCTCTGGATACATGGCATAGAGCGGGTGAGGGAGGGAAGTTTGGTACTCAACGTTGGCATGGAAGGTGTACACAGATTCATGTTGTGGCATGCTTTTTAATAGCTTCCCTGGGGTTAGTACTACTGAAGTGAAGAGGCTGAAATGATTCCTTTTGGAGGAGAGTAAATAGGGCTCAACCAAAAAAATTGTCTTTATATTACTACTTTTCTCTCGCAATGTTCAATTACTGGTTTTGAAGTTGAAACAAATCTATGGTGATATGTCTTCTTGTAATATTTTTGAGTTCTCTTTATAAAATTATGCACAACGCCTAAACTTGATTGATTCTCTGATTTGTGTTATGCGCTGCATGCTTATTTTGGAAACTGTACATGCATTTCTTTTTGATAATTTGTTCATGCTTTTTGAGAGTTGTGTTCAAGCATTGTGCCCACATTTTGGGGAAGACCTATATTAGCAAAAAGAAAGCTTGGAGAGGAAGTTTGGATGGTTTTTTTTAAGGGGCTTTGCGGGAAAACAAGTTTTTAGTTTTAAGTTGGATATTGAGCAATTGTTTAAATCGTAGAGCTTCTTTTGGGCTCCCCCTTAGTTGTTGATTCGCCTTCCAATTTTTGGCATTATCTCATTTCCTTGTCTAACTCTTTCATCCATTTGGCTTCTGTTTTTGGTTACAATTGGTGTCACCTGATTTTAGAGAGAGAGTCTTGTTCTGTTGTTGCTTTACATCAAAGGAGACTTTGATTAGAGCTCGGAAAATTATTTTCTGGACCAGTTATGTGGAAGGCTATTTCTTGTCATACCATGCTGCTCCACTTCGTCCTAAGCATAGTAGCTCAACTACGGGCCAGCTCATTATAGAAGCATTTACAAAGCATGTGAATACTGACGCTCTACATCTTGGGTGTTGGGCTAGCATCGTTGATAAGATGAAAATTTTGTCTGAAGTCATTAAAAGGTTGCACTGAACCATGCATGTAGAGAATTCTCTTAAAACATAAAAGCTTACTGCCATGTGATTGAATGTTAATACTGAAAAGTGGCAGGGTGCCACAACATGGCATCTAGAGTTCCATTCCTTCCAATGTCCCCAGGTAGCAATTTTTTTTAAAGAAAGAAAGAAAATCTATGAGCTATTGTTCGCTTCCTTATTTGGTAAACTTTGCTTGAGCTTATTATGGTCATGATGATTAAAAAAAAAAGGATGTTTGAAACAGACACAGAAGTACTAGGTTTACTGTTGAGAGAAGGGATATATGCAATATGATGTATCTCTCTCTTATTGTGGATTTGTGTCATAACTACCATAAATTTAGCTGTTTATTTTAGAGGGAGATGCACTGGGGTGTGTCTTCTTTAATTGAGGTTTTATTACCTGAATTGCCTGTGTAGTAACTTCTATGGGAGCTCGAAAAGATAAATAATAAGAATTGCTCTGCATTGCCAAGGAAGTGTTGGTTTTGGGAGTGGGATCACCACCCACATAGATCATTGGAATATCATATATTGGTTTTATGCTTCACGAATATGTTTCCCTTAGTGTTATTTGAGCTGTTCCTTCCAGGCGTATTGTCAGGGAAACCTGCATGGTATTCAGCAATAGCTGCAATACCACATCATATTAGTGTGGAGGCGATAAATACCATTTTGGTTTTTGAAAAGCATCAGGCATGTGTGTGTCCATTTGTGTGCATGTGTAGCACTCATGCTTACTAGGAAAACAGTAAACCAGATAACCGTTATTATTCCTTATCATAATAAAGTTTTTTTTGGGAGTATGTATTATAATAGATATTTAACTTATCAAAGATGTCTGCGTGTGTAGCTCTCATGCTTGTATAGCATTTTTTGGTATCTGCCACCTCCTTGGTGGCTGTATAGCGCTACCAATTTTTGGGCAGATATTAATATATAAATAATGTACTATGTACTCTCTTTTATATAATACAATGTTAACAGTTTCAATAAAAGATGTCTGCATGTGTAGTTGTGGGAGAACTAGTATTAGAATTTATCTAGTACAACAGCAGATACAGTTCTTTCACACCCTTTTTAGCTATTTGAAATTTGAATATAGCGCTTATAATTTCTTATCTCATAATAAAGATCCGTTATTTGGAAGTTTGTGGTATATGTGTGGGTGTGTGTAGTTGTGGGAGGAGTACTATTAGAGTAGGCCTAGTACAATATTAACAGAAGATACAGTGTGTTCTCACCAAATGACAAAACAGAAAAAAATGAAACAGAAGATATGAAAATACATATGCTGAATTGATTTTTGATTGAAATTATGCACGGCAATTGACTTCCTTATTTATTGATAATGATGTTTATGTTTCTATTCATTTTGCTATTCAGGGAAAGTGTTTGAGACTTGGCTTGTTCTATTGATTTCTACACTTTTAGCAGTGTATGTGGATTGTGTTTTTGTGAGTTACAAGGAACTAAGCCATGATGCCTCCTGAAAAGATTTTAACAAATGCTGGAATTGAAACCCACCTGAAAGGATGCTCTTTTCATGCACATTAATATTGTTTCCTACTTAACATAATTTTTATCGGCTTGTGACCATTGTTTTAATTATATTGAGTGATTCTATTAGAAGTTCTGTTCATGGAATTATATTTGTTTCAATGCCAATCTCTTTTTGAATTACAATCTTTTTACTTGGAAGTTGCAATGGCATCACCTATCAATCTTCTGCATTTCACTATGAATTCCATATATTTTCGATGCTACAGCGCATTTATTTGTGTTGGCTTTCATGTGAAATATATGATTGCAATAAAAAAAAGGGTAAGTAATATATCTCTTTTCAATCTTTTTTTCTGATATTCAAATTAAATCTGGATAGACGGTGCTGGGGGAAAAGGAACCTGGGGCAAATTACTGGACACTGATGCTGATTCTCGTCTGGATCGCAACGATCCAAACTATGATAGTGGGGAGGTAACATTCTTACTTATTTACTTTTAGCAATGGCTTCCTGACTTTTCTCTTATTGCCATTAATATGCATTACCAATGGGGAGCAAATTCTTGTGTTACTTTTTCTTTGAAAGAAGATTTCTGGTGGCTATTTTCAGAAACAACATGAGCGCTGGACTAAGGTTCCTTCCAGGCCATAGTCTAATCCCTTAATTTTTCTTTTAAACACGAAGTCATATTTTACATTTTCTTTGCTCCCATGTTTTCTAACTAAATGTTATCATTTGCCTTAGTTGCTGTATTTTGTATTAAATTCTAAAATTTATTGAAAGGAAAAATATGCCATAAGACTATTTAGCTTAGTTAAGTTTACAATCACCCTAAGCTGTTAGCGAAAACTTTTATACTTCGTGATACAAGTGTCAAGATATCACATCCGATTCCAGAAGTGAGTGAGACCTGTTCCAAAGATAATAGTCTTATGATATATGATCCCTTATTCAAATGCTTTTCATTTTCAGAGGCAACCCATAAATACTTAGTGTGGCTTTCACCAATTCTTTCCGCTCTCTGGTGAGAGAACAAAAATAAGCATACTACCTTGTTTTCATTTTCGTTTTTTTAGAATGTTAACTTTGTATTGATGGGAAGAAAAGTACAAACCTTGTTTTCGTATTTTTATAAGCAACATTCCCTCAATTCCATTTATACAAAAACATTTCTTTTTTTTAGATAAGCAAAAAATAAGGGCATCCTATTGGATCTAACTCCTACAAATCGTAATTTCAGGAACCTTACCAGTTAGTGGGTGCCCCAGTCTCTACCCCCTTCGACGACTACAAGAAGGTGGTGGTTGTCATAATCGAGGAGTACTTCAGCACTTGTGACGTTGAGACTGCCGCCTCCGACCTCCGCGAGCTTGCTGCCAGTGATTACCACCACTACTTTGTGAAGAGGCTCGTCTCTATGGCCATGGACCGCCATGACAGGGAGAAGGAGATGGCCTCTGTCCTCCTCTCTGCACTTTACGCCGATGTCATAAGCCCTGAGCAAATCCGCCAAGGCTTTGCCCTCCTCCTTGATTCCGCCGATGACCTTGCCGTTGACATCCCTGATGCAGTTGACCTCCTTGCCCTCTTTGTTGCGCGCGCTGTTGTCGATGACATCGTACCCCCTGCATTCTTAACAAGAGCAAAGAAAACCCTTCCTGAGGCCTCAAAGGGCCTCGAAGCTGTGCAAGCAGCTGAGAAGAGTTACTTATCCGCACCCCACCATGCTGAATTTGTTGAGAGGAAGTGGGGTGGGACAACTCATATCACGGTTGAGGAAGCCAAGAAGAAGATTGGGGATATACTTAGTGAGTATGTAGAGAGTGGGGATACAGGGGAGGCATGTCGCTGCATTCGAGAGTTGGGGTTACCTTTTTTCCATCATGAGGTGGTGAAGAGGGCTTTGGTGGTTGCCATGGAGAAGCCAGCATCTAGAGGGCTTATATTGAGCCTCTTGAGGGAGGCGGCAGAGGAAGGGCTCATTAGCTCGAGCCAAATGTCAAAGGGTTTTGGAAGGCTAGCTGAGAGTCTCGACGATCTCTCACTTGATGTACCCACGGCTAGGGATGCATTCCGCTCTCTTGCCCCAAAGGCGGTGTCTGAGGGGTGGCTTGACCCCTCGTTTCCAAAGGCCTCGACAATGGCTGGAGAGCTTGAGGAGGATGAAGAGCTTAGACGTTTTAAGGAAGAGGTGGTTGCGATTATACACGAATACTTCCTCTCTGACGATATACCTGAGCTCATTCGTAGCCTTGAGGACCTTAATGCTCCTAAATACAACCCTGTCTTCCTCAAGAAGCTTATAACTCTTGCGATGGATCGTAAGAATCATGAAAAAGAGATGGCCTCAGTTTTGCTTTCTGCCCTCTATACCGATGTCTTCTCAGCCGAGGACATAGTGAATGGCTTTGTGATGCTACTCGAGTCAGCAGATGACATCTCCATCGATATATTGGATGCCTCGAATGAGTTGGCAATGTTTTTAGCGAGGGCTGTGATAGACGACACCTTGGTTCCACTAAATTTGGAGGAGATTGCATCAAAGCTTCCGCCAAATTGTAGCGGGGCTGAGACTGTCCACATGGCGAAGTCCCTTTTGTCAGCAAGGCATGCAGGGGAGAGGATCTTGAGATGCTGGGGGGGTGGCACGGGTTGGGCAGTAGAGGATGCCAAGGATAAAATAACAAAGCTTTTGGAGGAGTTTGAGAGTGGGGGGGATGTTGGTGAGGCGTGTCAATGCATAAGGGAACTTGGCATGCCTTTCTTTAACCACGAGGTTGTGAAGAAGGCATTGGTTATGGCTATGGAGAAAAAGAATGATCGGATGCTTGATCTTTTGCAAGAGTGCTTTGGAGAAGGGCTCATTACCATTAACCAGATGACAAAGGGGTATGGCAGGGTGGCTGATTCGCTTGATGACCTAGCCCTAGACATACCTGATGCAAGGGAGAAGTTCAAGGTCTATTATGAGCATGCACGGCAGAGCGCGTGGATTGGAGCTTCTCTGTCCCATGGTAATTCGAACGTGGATCCACTAAAGCAGTTTAACTAACTACTGTTTTTGCTCTCTTTCTCTTGCATTTTTTTTTTTCTTTTTTGTAATCTTTGTCTTTCTTTCTTTTGATCCGTAGGCGCGTGTAAAATTGGTTTTTTCCTCTTTGGCAGAACGTTAGTATATGATATAGCAGGATGTTTTAGGGTAGGAATGGTTATAGTAGGATGTTTGAGGGTAGGAAGGGTTATATGGGAGGAATATGTTCTGATTCTACTGGTTTACAAATTTAATTTTCACTATTTTGTCTTGACTAAGGCTTACATTTTTCTTTTTCTTGTTGGGCTCCTATTTACTACTGGTCGTTATTTACTTTTCAAACATTTTCTTCACTAAGTTTTGTTAGATGCATCTTTTTTGCTATTATATGAGGTTAAGGTTCTGTATTATGCACTAGTAAGTCGCAGAACACAACCCTGCAACTTTGTTGAGGGAGCGGCGTTGTGGTATATGCTCTTCTAGGCATTCACATGGCCATAACATGAAAAATGAATAGCATGAGGAGTTTGCGAATCTCTGGATTCTGCTGTTCTGCTGCTTCTGAAGTGGTCCTATATTATAGACCACTGCTATTTTCCATAATATTCGACTAATCCGAGGTAGTTGATGGTGTTGACCACTAGAGCACCAACTGCTGGATGGACACAGGTACTGCCCATTACAAGTTGAAATGTTGAAAGGGCCCAGCCAGATATTTGTCGCAAAAGGGCCATGTAATAATAGTAAATCAGTTACTGTTCCTTCATGATTTTTTATTCATCTTGTAATCAATTTTGAAGACCTTATGTCTGGATGGTTGGGGGGACGAGTATGAAGCACTTCTGAAGCTCAAAAAATGAACAGGAAGTTAAGACACTCCAACAATGACATGTTCATTTGGATGCCTTGCAGTTCGTCAGGAGATCCAAGGTTTAAGAGGACAAAATGAACTTATATAATTATCAAATGGGGTTTCGAGATTAAATTATTTCATAAGTTGTGCCATAATGTAAAATCATTCAATTTAGGGGTGCGTGGGAGGTGATTTTAGCATTATGATTAGATGGTGGGATGAATAGAATGGCAATGTTCATATAAGCCCTATGGTGCCATCCTTAACATTATAGAACTTTTCGGGAAATATTCATGTAACCCCTATGGTCCCAATCCTTACGTTATAGAACTTTGGCTTGGGGACATCCCGTAAGATTGTGGACCTTAAGATGTACTAGTGGATTCGGATGTGTTACTCGTACAAATATGATATAATAGAAACGAATATTAATAAAGAAGTTGGTTTGATAGAGCTGCAGCACTATCAAAATAAGAAAAGCCTCTTTTTACAACGCATCGAAAATTGTAATTCAAGCAGTAGAAAATCTCTACATAGATCTTGTTGTAAAAAAAAAAAAGGATTTCAAGATCTAAAAATATAGTTGTTGTAACATATTATCTATACTGTTCATTTTACCTTAAAAATGAGTGCTCATAGGTCCACAATATTTGTATTATTTTTTTAGTTTTGACATACATTGTCGGTGTTGGAATTGATTTTAAAGCCATCATATAAATATCTTATGCCAAAAGTACTTTTTGGATGAGGATTTGAGGTGAGATCTTATTTTGTTTTCATAAAACCTAGGCTTTATAGAAACTTCATCCATTTTTTTTAATCATTAAATTTTGTAATTTGAGATAAAAATAAAATTTTAAACCATAATAGAGATGTCAAAAACAAAAGAGTGCGCTTTGTATAGAGTTGAGGCTCAAAATAATCAAAGTAAAGCACACCTTCAAATAATGTCGAGAAATGTGGTTTAAATCAGTGTTCGTAAAATCGAATCGGAACGGTTAACCGGACATGGGGATGGGAGCCGTTAGAATCGAAACGGGGCTAACTGAACTGATTTGGTCTAGTAGATGTTTTTTTAAAAAAATAGGTCAAAACCTTACCAAAATAATTGAAAAATAATAATGCAAAAACATAGATTAAATGTATCCTATCTTATTACCTACATTTATCTAAAAAAGAAAATGAAACAACTTGTTGAAAATCTGAAATCAAGCTCCCAAGTTATTGAAAATCTCCAATTTAAACTGCTCTAAAAATCTCCTAAAACCAAAACCAAAACCAAAATACACAACATTTCTGGTACAAAGTAACCTTATAATCATCCACCAACAATAAGCTAAACCTAAATGATTAATAATTTTTAACCAAAAAAACCTTCCCACTAGTTATGAAACCCAAACAACCAGCACATCATTAAAATAAAAAAATAAAAAAAATAATGCATATGACAAACACATGAACAATGGTTTCTAAAAACTTAATCTCGCATTTAGTTTCTAAAAAGCATTGGTTTCTAAGTTGTTGAGATCCATTGAAATCAATATAAACTATAATTCTCAAAAATATATTAAAACCCATACAAACAACATAAAATTACACAAGAGACATCAACCTGATAAGCTGATCAAAATACAAAGCCATCAACCAAACATGGTGATCAAAATGATAAAATCGAATACACTTATACCTCCAAGAATAGCTCGCAGTGAAACAAAAAAATACTCTCCAAGAATAAATCTCTAAAAATAACAAAATTAATTAACATATCACGTATACAAACAACGTATTTTGAGTGTGTTATTTCAAAATTTAAAAGTACTTTTTTGCATAATTATTTTTTTGGCAAAATAATGTGTTAAACACAATACTCGAGCAACTAAAAAATCATAATAAAAAAAATACTGAATGAAAAATCACATGAAATTCATACCTAGGATCTCAGCAGTAATAATCGATCACCAAATCGAGTACAAAAGCGAGTGGTTGTCGAGTGTTTTTCTGCTCAGTTCAGAAAAATTGTGTTAATGCCCTAATCTTTCAAAATCGAGCACCATATCTCGGATTTTCAATGAAATTAGGACTTGAATCTTTTGATAACTCCACGATCTACAAAACCCCTAATTTGATTGACAAAACATAAAAAACGAATCAACAATCTAGAGTATGGTGGATTTTTTCAACTCAGTTCTAAAAAACTGAGTCGCTGCCCTAATCACTCCAAATCGAGCTCTAAATATCAGATTTTCAATGAAATTAAGAGTAGAATCTACTGACTCTATTATCTACAAAATTCATGGATTTTGATTGATAAAAATCAATAAAAGAGGCCACGATATGCCGTACGACGGATTTTTTGAAATCTGTTTTGAAAAACTGAGTAGATTCTAATCACTCTAAATCGAGGTCCAAATCTTTGATTTTAAATGAAATAAGGAGTAGAATATATTGACTAACTCTATTATCAACAAAAGGCATATATTTTCATTGATAAAAATCCAAAAACGAGGCCACAATATGCACCATGCCGGATTTTTTTTCAAAACGTGAAGAACACGAAAATAACAGCCCAAAAAATCAAATTGTGTGTTTCCGGCTGAAATCCTTCATTTTATACCATTATATCAACAATTTCAGTTAATAACTTACTGAAAATTCCTAAAAAAATGACCAAAATCGAATAAAAAAGGAATCCAACAAAAGCTAAGGGTTTTGCACAAAATAACGGTTACCGATACAAATAACGGCGCACCACTAAATAACGGGCATTATTTCGATGTTTTAAGGTTATTTGGGCCTTTTTTTCCTCTAAAAACAGGTCAGGTTAGATTGGAAAACCGCTCGATTAGCTTAAAAAACTGCCAGTTCATGTAGATTCTGGCTGGTTTTGGGCTGGAAAAGGTTTGGGGTGTTAGATATGCTTAGTAGAACACCAAAACCAGGACTAATCGGAACCGTGAAGCTAACGGTTCCAGTTTGAACCGGCCGTTTTTTCGAACACTAGTTTAAATACTTAAAATATTTGTGATAACTAGAAAATATATTTTCATCTCTAATTATAAAATTTAAAGCTTAAAAAATAGTGGAAATCGAGTAAATCTATGAAAATCTTGAAAATTGATAGTCCAAAAACACATTATAAGATGTATTATTTCTATAACTTGAAATCTATTTTTTTTCTGATCTCCATACATCTTGATGTCGAGGTTATCAATTTTAGGATATTTGGGCATCTAAACATCTTCTAGTGAAACTTTTGAGGTGCACTCTAATTTGATTGTTTAGAACCTTAGCTCTATACAAAAGTTATTTCCCTTGGAGCAAGGCTGAGTCCAAGGCCCAAGGCATTTTGAAAACATTGGGTTCAAGTATCGATGTCGGTGGGAGGAATCACCAACCAAGATGGCTCCCAAGGATAACATGTAGCGCAATGATTTATTGCAATAGTTGTATAGTAATATAATGCAACAATCTTCAAAATCATGTGAGGGCCATTTTTTTGATCCAAAATTTAAAATATGCACTCTTTTCATTCTAATGAACAATCACCAAAAAAAGACAAATTGAAAATGCAAGCTCAAAAGTATTTTTTAGCCCAATTAACATAGGCCGTCCATTTTGATAAAATGCTCAAATCTAAGCCTTTGAAGGAATTTTCTTTTTAGATAGCTTTATTATCACTAAAAGAACAACATTAAAAAAAAATAAAATAAATTTGAGTTTGTAAATGCTAAGATCTTGAAATTCACCAAATGAATGGTCTAGATTCGTTATTTTAGATGACTAATTTTAACCAAATCTAGGGTTCAAATCTAACTTTTTTGCTTTTTTTTTTTTTGGGATTGATTATTGAGATAAAGAGAGTATGTATGCAAAATTTTGGGTCATACAAATACCACAAACATGATTTCCTGAAAGTGTGGTTCCATTATACTATGATACAATTGTTGCATTAGATCACCGCCGTAATATGTATTTATGTATAATGAATTAACAATTCACCAATTCTGACAAAAGAACCAAAATAGTCGAATGCTACTCCAATTCACAATTTTTGAAAATTTGAATCGACGCCAAAGCGTTGCACTTCCAATTTCCAATTTGGGTATTTAAAGGGAACATAAGGAAAACAAAACAATGAGGAAAACGTTTATATAGAGTCAAGGATCTAAAAATCAAATTAGAGCCCACCTCCAGACTTTTACTAGAAGAGGTTGTTGTGTTGCCCAAATATCATCAAATTGATTATCTCGACATCAAGATGCATGGACGTGGGGAAAAAAATGGATTTCAAGTATTGGAAATAGTGCATCTTGTAACGGATTTTCGGACTGTCAATTTTCAAGATTTTCAAATTTTCATAGATTTACTGGATCTACACTATTTTTGAAGCTGTAACTTTTATCATTAAATATGGAAGCATATTCT